GGGTTCAGGGTTTAGGGTTGTCTACACATCTGCAGGTAGGGTTTAGGGTTTAGGGTTCACGGTTTAGGGTTTAGGGTTTGTTCTCAGGGCTCTTGGGGGGAAGCTGTTGGGTTTCTAGGTTCTTGGTTTTTTTTGTTGGGAACGTTTGGTGTAGGTTTGTTCTTAGGGTGTATTCTGGATGCTGCCCCCACCCAATAACAGCTGAATAGTAGTTATAATATAGTTGTATGATGCCCTTAATAGTAGCCTTAGTATAGATTGCTGCTGTATGAGGGCTGTACCCGAGGTGTAGTTGTTGTTTTGCTGTGGGGCTTGAGGTTTGGAGAGAGGTAGGACTTCTAGGCTTTCATTTATTGTTATTGTTGTTCACATACCCATACACTCTGAAGTGCTTGGGCTTCGTATACTTTGTAGCATCGACTGGCTGGAGTGGCAGGTGCGAGAGCTCTCGCTGGGCGTCGACCATGCAGCTGCTGCAGCCAGACGAAAAATTAAAAATAGTTCGTCCCATCACCCTAAACCCCAGACCCTGAACCCAAAACTTGCTGCCCTGAGCCCCAAGACATCCGAAGCTTTGGGAGGATAGGGATCATTTTTATGTCTTTGGTCTGGCCACACCATGCGGTTCAAAGCTTTGGGGCCGAGCTGTTCCAAGTGCGCGATGGGCCTGGACGGTTGTGGTTGAAACGAAGAACTGCCACACCAGGGGTTTCCATGAATTTGGCAAGGCGATTTCCAGAGCCGGGTGATTCGGGGTCAAATTGTGTAGATCCCCAACACTGAGCGAAGGTTGCTAGATTTTGGCATAGGCCCGGAACACGAAACCCTGAAAGGCTCTCGCTCCCTGAACTGAATGTCCGGCTGAGATCACCCTGCAAGACGAGCTCTTCCTCTGGGGCAAAGGCTCGCTCCTGGGCGAGGTCCAGAATGCTCCTCGGTCTGCATCATACGAATCCTTGCGGTTCGGGTTTTGCAAAAGCCGACTGGAGGCCCATTCTCCTGAGCTATCTGGGTCTGCAAGATATGTTTGTTCACAGACGCTCGTCCAAGCGACAAACCAGAAAACTCGGCCTGACCCGGGCGTGCAACACTGGCCCGACACATGAACACAAAAACTACACATGACGAGATCCGCTACCGTTACGACCAAGAGACAAGAGTTTTGCACAACACGGTTTGTGAGGAAGCAACTGCTTCTGGGCCCATTACATGCAAGAAAGCTTCCCAGTTTCGCTTCCGAAGCACCTTCGCTAAACCCCGAACCCTATAGACCCTAAATCCTAAAGGTTTCAAACCCTAAGTTGAGCCTGGCAACACAAGTCAAAAGTGCAGGTGTTGCAGCCGAAGCGCTTCTTGATCGAGGGCAGCTCGCACTTCAAGCTTGTCGTTTGCGGCTGGGCTGGAAGCTGTCGTGGCTACTACCCTAAAACCTAAACCCTGAACCCTAAACCCTAAACCCTAAACCCTAAACCCTAAACCCTAAAGAAGGCGGTTTAGGACCATGGGCCGCCTTCCCCGCGGTTTCCTATTCGACCATTCGGCAAGCAGACTCTGTGATAGAAAGCGCTTTGCCCCTGGACCGCCCTGCGAATCCTCAAATGTGCCAGAAGAAAGCTCCTAAACCCCTAAAGCCCTAGAGCCCTAAAGCCCTAAAGCCCCAAAGCCCCAAAGCCCCGAAGCCCCAAAGCCCTAAAGCCCTAAGGCCCAAAGGCCCTAAACCCCGAAACCCCGAAACCCCGAAACCCCGAAACCCCGAAACCCGAAAACCCTAAACCCGAAAACCCTAAACCCCTAAAGCTCCTACTTGTAAGGTGGGGAGCTCGAGACGTTTCTGGTGGACAGAGCCGGCCACCTCCTGGCCTGGGGCTCCAACCGCTACGGGCAGCTGGGCCTAGGCCCAATAGAGGGGTCTCGAACACATGAGGTTTCGGGTTTAGGGTTTAGGGTTTGGGGTTTAGGGTTTCGGGTTTGGGGTTTAGGGTTTAGGGTTTAGGGTTTGGGGGGCATATTGGGGGCCTCGTCTTGGGACCCGGGAGTCGTGGGAAGCTTCAAGGCCCTGGTCCAGTGTAGGGGTGGAGGCTGACACTGCGAAGCAGGATGATACTTACGACTGCGTTCTGCATGGAAAGAAAGTGGTGTGTAGGCAGCAGCTATTGCACAGGATCACGACCTCGTCATGCTACACAGAACCCAGATGTGTCGATGTAGCATTCGCTATGAAGGCTGGTAGAGGACTCGAAAGCTTTGTGGACGCCTTCTGCGAATGTAGCCCCCCGTGCAATCAAAGAGCGCTCCTGGCAGAGGCCAGCAGAGTGGCTTACATGTGGCAGTGCCGTCGCATGTGAAGCCGCTGCATGAACCTGCAGCTTGCATGCACCCGGTGTCCTAGTCGTGTGCGTGCATGCTCTACTCGCAAGCCTTATGTGGCTGTGTGTGGTGCGGTTGTCAAAGGTTACTGACATCGTGTCCGGCGGCAACTTCACCATCGCAAGCCTCGCCGCATGTTCGCAAGCCATCGGGCTTCGGGGGACTCCATGCTTGCAGCATTTTTGGAGCTAGGCCTCGACATTCTTCGATCACTGGGGCTTGTTGGGTCGAAGGTGAAACATTCACCGGATTTTCTGGAACTCCTTTTTGGGGCCATGCGCTTTGCAGTGGTATCTACTGTGTTTATTCAGGTTTGCGTTCGTATATACCTACCGTGCGTACTTGCTCGATCGCTCTCTGACACAATCAAAGCATTGGGCCCCTCAGGGATGGCTCGCTGCTTTGAGCTGCGGCCATTCCCAAGTCGACGAGCCAACTTCTGCAAGTTGCGATTAAGCGATTCGAGGGACGGCATGACAAAACGACAAAGTCAGTTCATTGCATGGTATCGTCGCAAGAAGTTCGTACAGTCGTGCATCGTAAGTCTCGAAAGATCGTCTGATGCGAGACCTTCCCGGGTAGACTAATGCAGCGATGCTTTACCGTCTACGCGGCTTAGGATCTAACCAGACCCCCGAATTGACGTCTTGGACCCCCAAACAAAGGCCCCCAAAAGAGTATAACAAACGCACCGAAAGCATGTCGACCCTGAAGCCTCAATTCCAACGAAAGCCGGCCCCTTATGCCCCCAGGAGAGCGGCGACGTTTGCGCCTGGGGCAACCAGACGTGCGGACGCTTGGGCCTCGTGGAAACCAAGGCCTGGACCCGGCGGTTTTTGCATGTGTGACATGGGTTCTCAAGCTTTGTATTTGGCAATACTGGCTACAGTGGATGGAGTGCTCGCAACAACAGCAACGACAATGACCGCCATCACCCTCACCCTCACCATCACCATCACCATCACCATCACCATCACCATCACCATCACCATCACCATCACCATCCTCATGCTCATCCTCATCCTCATCCGCATCCTCATCCTCATCATCATCATCATCATCATCCTCATCCTCATCCTCATCTCCATCTTCATCCTCATGCTCATCCTCATCCTCATCCTCATCCTCATCCTCATCCTCATCCTCATCCTCATGCTCCTCCTCCTCCTCATCCTCATCCTCATCCTCGTCGTCGTCATCATCATCATCATCATCATCATCACCATCATGACCATCATGCGATGCGTCGTCATCAACAAATCGAATCAGGTTCTTTCAGGTTGCAACTAAAGAAGAAAGACAACAAGGCCACAGATTCGCTAACAAGGGGCAGAATCCAACGCAAGCTCGTGAATTTCGGCGGTCGAGTTGGCAGTGTGAGCCGGACGCGAGTTGCCAAAGGTTGCTGTCATATTGCTCATTTCTTTGTTAACATCGGGCCCTGAAGTGAGAACACTAATGGTAAGACTAGTAGACGAGCTCCAACCGGACCCTTCAACCGTCCTCCGCGCGAATCTCAGATTGTACCCCCCAAAAACATGGTTAAGTTAAGTGGGCCTGATGTGCAGACTAGTTTCTAAGGCTCAATAGCTATCTTTATTTTTGGCAAAAAATCTAGTTTCTAAGGCTCAATAGCTATCAGTCTACTCTGACATTTTTTTGGCTCCCCATCGGTGAACAGCGCAGGACGAGCGGATCTGCTGGGAGCCCTCCTTGGTTGTAACCCGCCTTCGCAGTTGCAGAGGGCTGGGAAGTTTAGGGGTTTAGGGTTTAGGGTTTTAGGGTTTAGGGGTTTAGAGTTTAGGGGTTTAAGGGTTCAGGGTTTAGGGGTTCAGGGGTTTAGGGTTTAGGGGTTTAGGGTGAGGAGAACAGAGAGGTGAACGCTGTAAGGTACTGGTGCAGCTAGTTGTGAGGGACGAGGCCTTTTTTGCAGTTCGAGCCGTTGGGTCCTAGAGTGCAACTTTGATAGTCAAGATTCAAGATTCGGCTCTGTTGCGGAGTTTGGGGTTTGGGGTTGAGCTTCTGGTCAGTGTTGGAGTTTAGAGAGAGGCCATTGCACCTAAATCAAGACATACCGAGTCACTCTGACCTCTGGGCTTAGTCAAGCTCCACAAGAATCACTAAAGCTGCAGATACTGTAAGATGCTGTATTAACAGAATGAGACCCTAACCGCTAAAGGTTTTAGGGTTCAAGGGTTGCTCTTGGGGTCTTTCTCGTGAAATGAGTGGGCTACCTCAACTTCATTCTGTAGACCACAGCAACGGGGGGCCCTTCGCGGGGCCCTTCGTTGAGGCAGATATAAATGAGCCAGAATGAGCCCACATAAAATGGGGCCATGCGGAGTAAACATGGTGTTTTCTGATGATCAGGGCTTCCTTTATTTGGACATGTTTGTGATCAGTATTCTGGGGTCTATGTTGAAGGTCCCCCATTTTCGGGGCTCAGGTTCGGATGCATGATAGGTCGATAGGATAGGCATCAACAATCACTGTCACAGATTGGTCTGGTAGTCCCTACTGATGAAGTGTAGTGCAAGCCCTGTCTTGATATTTCAGTAGTGTCCCAAACCCTTCAAAGCCCTGAAGCCCCATGGTAAGGCTGGTAAGGCCTGTCTCAGCAGAAATTGATGCTCGTTTGTGGCGACATTCAGGTCGCCACATGGTCCACCGTTGCGACGGCAGCTCGCCCCCAGCAGTCGCGGGGGGCCCCGGTTGTCGGATTCATGACGGGGCTTGACATCGGTACGTCTGTCGGTCCATCCGTCCCTTCCTTCCGGCTTGCAAAGCCCCGTCAGTTTTAGAAGGGCTTACTTGTTCTGGGAAATCCTCCGTCGATGCACCGCCGAAGTTGTCAGGCGGAAGACCGTGCGCTCCAGCAAAGACACGGAGAGCGTGGCCGGGAAGACCGAGAAGTCGGAGGTGTGGGGGCCATCGGGGGCTGAAAGTGAGTTTCCCAAGATTTTAGTGTGAGAGGGCTTATGAGGTCTCGGTTGTGGAAGGTTTCCGAAGTGCTGGAGTAAAAGTGGCTTCTGCACAGATCAATGAACCATTCACACGCAGTTCTCTGAGCTTTCTGGAGTCCGAGGTTCTGAACGTGTTCGTTTGTTTTGGGATGTGCTGAGTGTGGGCCTTAGTGCCACGGGGCGTGAAACCCCAAGAACATTCCCCCGTCTCGCCATTACCAACCTACATTTCTCGGGGAACCGCTGGGATGGCGTAATTTGAGCTTTGTGCTTTTGCTCGGGCGTGCCGTGGCAGCTCCTTAAAGTGGCCCTTTCTCAGGCACTCGTGTGAAGCTTTTTTGATGCTTGCTCGGGTAGTCTAACAGATTCCCCGAAGCAGGAGACGGCGACGGCAACAGCAAAGGGCACCAAGGACAGAACGCAGAACGTTGCAGACCGGCTGCATTTACCATGGACTGTCAGGGGCCGAAAACCAGTGGCCAGTTTGTTGCTTCAAGCCTAGGTGGGCTGTGGTTGTGTTACTTTGACTTGAAAAGTGGTTGAAGGTGAACGGATTGTGAAGGCTGAGCGACGGAAATAGTGCGGTCCCAGTAATGTCGGGCTGTTCAACTGTTTGGGTTTGGTTGTTGAGCAACCGTCCTCTGGAAATCCTTAAGCTTCCCTCTTCTGCGCACGCACGATGCTGCAAGGGTGTCGTGTCTGAGCGGTATCGGTGGAGGTTCGGCTGCCTGCTGAGGTGTACGTAGTGGAAGATAGCTAAGTTGGGCCTTCAATGTCTTTGCTGCGAGCTTACGCGTGGACGTCTCCAGGTAAGCTTCGTGATCTTGCAGACAGTTCTCAAGCAGGAGGACACGAATCAACAAGAAAGCGCCTTGAAAAAGGATGCGGAGGAGTTTGAGCAAATGGTGCAGCTTGGCATGGAAAGATGTGGTCTTCATCGAGGAGTCTCTGACAGTCAGATGACACATTACATCTTCGAGCTGCTAGAGTCACCCAGTTTTTTGTACTGCATGATGCATGAGGGTGGTGTGTACACGTCTACCACAGCGAAATATACGGCGTTTGCCAGTCCCAATTTCCTGACACACCGAGGCAGGAGTTGATCCAGGAGATCCGAAGCCTTCGCGACGAGGAGGAGGGCTCCGAGGGCAGAGCTTCTGAACTTCCATTTCTCACAATTCGGCGCGCTCAGTGATTGGGCTTCCCGGAGTCGTTGAAGCTGGGGTGGAATTGAAACTCTGGCTGGATGAGTCCTGGCCTGCTCCTTTCTGCCCCTGTGTCATCTGCCCCACAGCGACCCTCCGTGGAGGTTTCGGGGCTTTGCGCCTGAGGCCTTCAACCCCGAAGCCCAAATTTCGGTTTGAATGCAGGTTCCAAAGCTGGGTTCCGAAGCAGGGTCGAGCCTGGCAGCTCCAAAGCCAAATCCTGTGTCTGGTCCGAGAGATCCTTGAATTGAGCACTAGGCCCTAGGCCCCAATAAGATTTTCAGGAAGGCCTCCGCAAGAAGATCATGCAGCTGGGCGATTCCGTGGTGACGAGTCTTCGCCCCTCGTACTGACTCTCGAACAACAGCAACATCGCCAGCAGCATCGCAAGCAAAAAGCAGACCACCACCGCCGCCGCCACAGCCGCTACCACAGCACCACCACCACCACCACC